CAACTCCAAGGAAAGCAGAATCCTCAGTGTCTGCACAGAGCAGCACCAACTAGAAGTGAGGCCTGGTCATCAATGAGAAAGGCGGGAGCAAAGAGCAGGGTAGGCTGAAAACTGCCACAGAGCAGGACATGCAGACCCTCCCGAGGCTAGAAAGGGTTACTCCAGGGAGAAGTGAACCAACCTAGCTCATAACTCAGGGACACCAAGCGTCAGTAATAAGATGCTCTCCAGAACAAGACGAGATGCCCCACACATTCACTGAGTCAACTTGCAGGATACTAATGGACCTCTGCCCCTCTCCTGAAGGAAACGATGGGAAAAAGAGAAAAGCCAACCAGTTGTCATCCAAACAAATAACTGGGTACCCTTCACTTTGGATGAAGCTTGACCACACTCCTCTCAGACTTCACATTATGCAGGGTTTAAGGCCTCACTCTTTTGTCTTTTAAAATAGGTCTCACTTGTAGTCTAGTGGGCCTCTGAACTCACTATGTAGCCCCGCCTACCCTCAAACTCAGTAATCCTGCTGCCTTAGCCTCCTGAATGCTGGAACTATAGATTTGTGCCACCACACCCAGCTAAAGCTTCACTTTTGAAAGGATGCAGCACTAATTAAGACAAGGCACACAGAGGAAAGTCCAGATGACTTTAAAAAACCACACTAGTCTCAGAGGCAATATGACACACTGAGGCACTGTGCAGAATAAGAACTGGGAGCTTTGGTTCAAATATCTGGGTTGGATGTGGTGGCACACGCCTGTAATCCTATAGAGGCTGACGCAGGAGGACTGCATTTAAGGCCAGCCTGGGCAATTTAGTGTGACCTGTCCTATCTCAAAGTAAGATACAAAAGATTTAGCTCAGTGCCCATCAGTAACACATAATGCACACATGCACACACAATCATAGAATCAGGCAAGATGATGTATGCCTGTAGCCCCAACACCCAAGAAACTAGGGCAGGAGGCTCACTGGATCCCAGGAGTTCAAGGCCAGACTGAGTAACACTGTGAAACCCTGTTTCAAAAATGAAAAACAAGGCTGGGAGTGGTGACTTGCACACCTGTAGTCCCAGCACTCGGGAGGGAGGGAAAGAAAGAATGAATGGAAGAAATAACAAAAGGAAGGAAGGAAGGAATAAATCTGACTGTAATCCCAACACTCAGGAGGCTGAGCTGAGGCAGGAGGATAGCTGTGAATTCCAGGGCAGTCTGGGCTACATAGTGAGCTCAAGGCCATCCTGAACTGCATAGCAAGACCCTGGTCTCAAAAAGCCAATAAATAAATAAATAAATAAATAAATAAAATAAATCTGAGAATAAGAAAACACTCTTAGAAATTAAAAATAGAATGATAGAAATCTGAAAAGTCAACCAAAAGATGAGAACTTAAACCTCTCCAATGTAAACAAAAAGGCAAAGATAACATATTTCATATTTAGAGCAAAAATAAGAAAAAGTACTCTAACACAACTAGAATTTCCCAAAAGTAGAGAACAAAAAAAAAAATTGGAGAAAAAGTCATCAGGGAAATAATATAAGAAATTTTCCTGTACTATGAAGGGCAATCCATTTTCTGAGCCCCCTTCAGTCCCTCTTAGAAGAAGCTTTCTTTTTCCCAATAAATTCTTCCCTCTCTTAACCTCTGTTGTTCCTAGAATTCATTCCTGATTTTAGAGAATATAAATTCAGCATTCCACACACCTAGTAAGGTGTTACTAAATTGTGCAGGCTGGCCTCAGACTTTCAATTCTCCTGGTGAGCCTCCCAGTAGCTGGAAACACAATTTACATAACTTCAAGAGGAGGAGGCAAAGGCTCCATCTTCACCTTTAACTGGAAAGATGTCACAGTCACACTGTGCAGACGGACATTAGGATAGAAGATAATATTGCCAGTATCTTTGGACGATACAATCTGCCACAAATATTTTAAAATACCTGTTGGATATTCTGTGTAGTGTCTCAGCCCATAACTTGTCTATGTTTTCTACTAGATTATCTTTTTCCTTATTCCCTGGTAAAATGCATTCTGGATGCTAGCCCTCCCAACAATACCATAGATATATGTATTACAGATATTTTTCCCCATTAAAAAAAGTTCATGAATTTGCAGACTAAAAAGGGCCCATGGAATGCCCAGCATAATAAATGAAGATAGCTGGGCATGGTGACACACACCTGCAATCCCAGCACTCAGAAGGCTGAGGCAGGAAAATCCTTGCAAGTTTGAGGCCAACCTAGCCTACAAAGTGAGCTCAAGGCCAGCCTGAACTGCATAGAGAAATCCTGTCTCAAAAAGACAAAAAAAAAAAAAATTTAATGAAAGTACAGTCATTTATTTGGACCTTAGTATGAATATATAAAATCTGCCTACAGTTGGGCTCATTTACTCTGTTCCACCTGTTTACTTACATAAGATTTTCCCTAGAGCTACATGTGTTCTCTTTGTTTCATTTGCTTGGCTTTGCGCATATCTATTGCTAATTTCTCTCAAACTCTCACCTCTGGAGCTCTTCTAGATTACCAATTACCAATGTGAAATCCTTATCCTGATCATACTAGCTGTCTGCCCTCCATGTCTGCCACTTGCACTTTGCTCTAATTTTTCACCAAACTGGGAGACAATTGGGAGAAAGGTGGGGGCAATGAACAGTGATGTGACCATAACAGCCTCCAGGATGGTCATCCTGTCCTCAAATCCCTCCACTGTCAGAAAGGGACTGGCTAACCATCACAGATCCAGTATTGACAGGCTGCCCTGTCATCCAGTCTTGTTTTCCTCATGAGATTAAAAACCAGCAAAAGATTTTCTGTGAAGGACCTGATAGCAAATATTTCTGACAGTCTCTGTCAGAAATGTATGGAACTATATTGTATATGGATGAGTGTGTCTACCAAGACGCTACTAGTGGACAACAAAAGATGGTTTTCATGTCATTAATGTGTGTAACAAAGTATTCTTCCTTTGGCATTTTCAACTATTAAAAATATAAACTCTTTTTAGCTCACAGGCCACACAAAAGCAGGACATTTCACTTTGCTAACCCTGTTCTAAGATTTTGCCACCACAGGCATGTATTTCACAGTTCCTTATAAGCACCTGGACTTGAAAGCAGCTGTCACTCAACCCTAGCTCTCCCTGGGGACAGTGTGACCTCTTCATGGAGCTACATCTACAAAACCTGGCGGCTGGGTCTGCCTGCCACCTGAAATGTTATCCCAGTTCTGTTGTTGTTGTTCCTCGCATGCCTTCACGGCATGTTGGCCAGCGGGAGAGTTGTGAGGTTCGAACTCCAGCCACCTGAGGCTGACAGCTTTGTGGAAGCAGCCACTTAAAGGACTGAGCTAGGCCCAGGCTCCTGTTATCCCAGTTCATGTTCTGTCCTCACTCAAAGCTCCAACCATCTTGCCACACTTCCCCTACCTGTTCTGTCATCTTCTAACATACTGGTCAAATGCTAAATGGAGAATTTTATGAAAAACTTTTGAGAATCATCAGTATCACTAATGACAATGACATACTTCCTTCAAGTTGGTGAGGTCAGTGAAGCATATTCTAGATTTCAAATACCTGTACTGCGTTTATCTCTGGCCTGTCCCTTCTGCCAGGGTAGGCCCAACTCTAGAGCAATTTGATAGAACTCTCTATCATAGGATTAGTCCTTTTCTTTTAGTATACTGTCAATAAAAATGCTCTGACCATGCCAACTTAGTTCAAACTTACATATAACTCAGAATGAGAAAACATGTACAACCAGAGCTTCTGAATTCTTTTTTTCTTTGTTGGGGGGGGGGCGTTACAAGGGATCAAACTCAGGACCTTGTACTTGCCAGGCACTTATACTGCTGAGCTATCTCCCTGACCCTGAGACTCTGAATTCTTCAACCTCACAAATGACAAAACCCACAGTGGCTTCATTTTTCAGATGGGGTAGGTGTTTAAGGGCTGCATCTCCATGAGAAGTCTTAGCCCTGGCTGTCCTCAGACGCTGCCCATGTTCCCTGAGTGCTACACAGCACTAGGCCTGGTTTAGCTTCAGTACATACTTGAAGCGGACCTTCTCTTCCATGTCCCAGGGGGGGTCCTGAGTGATGAGGTTCACCAGTTCCTCCATACACTGTGGTCTGCACAGAAAGTCCAGTAGCTTCCGGTTCTGAGCCTTACATTCTTGCAGGATGTCATCTTCATCCATTAACTCCTGTAGTGTCACATGTTCTTTGTCCAGAAGCTTGTCTATATGGGATGTGGTATTCAAGTCAAACTTCCAGAACATCGTGATGGCCACAAAGCTATAAGAAGGGAGAAAACGTCACTCACTCCTCTCTCCTCTGACTGCCACCTGCTGCACTACCCCAAGAAGTCCATTCTGACATGAATACACAAAATTCCTAGGGGGCTCAGGATTGGGGATTGGGCTTTCCTCAATATAT